CAGAACCCTATTCTAAATATTAGGGCCCCTGCACGCTAAAGCCTTGTAGTAGCCCTTATAGATCCCTTTAAAGGAGCCCTTGAACCCTAAACCTTAACAACCGAAGGCGAAGCACTGCCAGGAAGAAAGCCCGTGATGAGGAAGCGGATCCAAACAGACCTCTCCGAGCTCAAGGCTTCAAGGCTTGACTCAGTGAGCTGTTTTCTTTTTTAGACTCAGTGAGCTGTTTGTTTTAGGCTCAGTGAGCTGTTTGTGGTTTATAGGGCTGAAGATTTGATCATGGTTGGGATAGCATTAAAAACGTGAACTTCTGTTCTCCTATTGCGTTTAAGTAGCCATAAGAAGAGCCTTCAACATGTGGGGAGGCTACGGTCTGGTACAATAACAATTAGTAGAACACAGTGTCGTATGGTTTTGGCATGAAGGATACAGCACAATTTGGTGATTGGGAACTGCGCCCGCGCATCCTCCAAACAAGCCTCAGGACACCGCCACCGGATGCTGTAAACCCTAAACCCCATAAACCCTTTAACCCTAAACCGTTTGCAAAGCCAGGCGGCAAGAGAAATGCGACCTGGAATCCAGCGGCCTCGATTTGCTCCTCCTCACGAAGTGACGCTCACATTGCGAGCGTCCCAACAATAAACTTCGAGGTGGGGCGTGCGTGCTACGGCTACATAAGTATAACTCGCCATCTGCGCAAAGGCTCTGACATGCCACGGCGAAAGACTGCGACTGGATGCAACATCAAACTAGAAAAGCTGTGGCCCCTTGAAGCCCCTGGATCGTGTGTACGAGCCCCGGAGCTGTTCGAGACCCTCGTCGCAGCACGACCGTCCGGCCTCTCTGTCTGGATCGTACCCATCGCTTGGCTGCATTCGATCGGCAAGCCTTCAGATCACTGGGGGCAGCATCAACTTCATTCAAAAGAATACGATGGCTCAAAGACTCTTTGCCAGTTAGGGTGGCGGAGGTGCAGCGCTGCACAACGTGAAAATACAAAAGAACGACTGTCGGCAGCATTTTGTCTCCAGGTATGCACTGGCATTTGATGGACATGCCAATATCGCTTATCACGAATAACACCTGACAAAACCACCCTCGTGCCCTAAACCCGTGTCCTATAGAATGCCACAGAATCCACCGGAGACTGCGCCCCGGCCCTCCAACAAATTGCCTGAACGCGAGGCAGAGAAGTCCGGAAAGGACCACCAGCATGAGCAGCAGGCCGAGGAAATAGTACCCTGCACCACCTGGTCTCTGTTAACGCTGTTCAAGAAGCGCAACCACACCACCACCACCACCGCCGCCGCCACCACCACCACCACCGCCACCACCACCAATAGCAGCACCACCACCACCACCACCATCAACAGCAACAACAACAACAACACCGGCAGCAGCAGCGGCGGCGGCGGCGGCAGCGGCAACGGCAACAGCAACAGCAACAGCAACAGCAGCAGCAACAGCAACAGCAACAGCAACAGTAGCAGCAACAGCAACAGCAACAGCAATGCCAACAGCCAACCACCACAGACACAGCAATGCCAAGAGCCAACCACCACAGACACAGCAATGCCAAGAGCCAATAGCCACAGCACCAACAATCAACGCACCAGCAACAAGATGAACGCGCCCCCGTCGCGGCAACAGTGGCGACAACAGCAGCAACTACTATGCCCAAACATGACCACCAACGGCAGCAACGAGAGCGACACAACCAATACTCAGAAACATTTTTTTGAACCCAGACTCAAATCCTGCATACTCAGAGACATACGATACCAACAGCCATCGGACCTGGCCGTTGGTCGGGAAACAGGCGGTGTTTGCAAGATCCCTCGTTGCTCACGCTAATAGAGGGCTCCTTCCATATCCAAATGGTAGCTTCGACATCATTGCCGTTCAGAAACACAGTCTGAACTGCCAGGGCATGCGTGGGCGTGTGACCCAAGATGCAGATGCTCACATATGAACAGACGAGCAGCTGCTGAAGGGCTCCAGGCTCAAGATGTAAGCAAAGCCTTGAAGCGCAGGACGCTTGCCGGCGCAGCTGCATCTCGCCTATAGTCCCTAATCAGAACTCGCTCGGAGCCAACTTCGCAGTCCTCCACCATCCGTCGGATGCATGTCATGTATCGACAAGGCAAGGACCGCGACTTGCAGCCGCAGCACTGTCGGATCCAGCGTAGCCAATGAGATACGTGCCACAGATCCTGCGAACCGATTTAATTTCGATTTTGACATCAAGCGATGCTGGTATTCGAGTTGACACTGCCCGGTGCTAGTAATTTGTTTTCTGCAAGGGAAGCACGGAGGAGCGTTTGCTACTGTACCCGTCTATTGCCCTGTCAAAGAACACCCTTTTTTGAATTTTCGGCCGAATGTAGGGGCCTTAATAATTAGAATAGGGTTTCGGGGCCCAACACTATAATTATAAGAAGGAACCCCAAAAATAGTATAGGTAATTCTTAAGGCCCAATACATTAGCCAGTTCGGTTCGCTGACGTAGTTCAGGGACCCATAGCCGAACCCAGTCCTCGCAGCCGCGAGACGAGTCTTGTCCTGCAGCTTGGACCTGATAGAGCTGCTGCCAATTGTAATATAAGGGCCTTCATAATTAGAATAGGGTTTGGGGTATATCATGCTATAAATTATTACAGTAAGGAGCCCCCAAAACCCTGTTCGAATTATTAAGGCCCCTACATTAAATGGAGAGCTGTAGGTTCTATCATTCTTCAGGGTTTCAATTTGTTTTGCGGACTCTTTTCAATGGGCATGTGCTGCATCTAGAATACCCCAGCCCCCCCCCCCCCAAGCCAGGGTGCTTGAGCATCGGGAAGAAGAACCTGACAGGGCACGGAGCAACCCATAGCTGCCTTCGGTTTGTGATGCCAAACACCAACTGCCAGTCGCTAGAGCCTACTCATGGCTGCCATGAGCTCAACTGTCTGCTCTACACTCTAAACTGGTCTCTGGGTGGCCCCGTTCTGCGCAGGCTGAAACAGGATCAAAGCCAGCATGGCTTGCTCAGGGTAGGAGCCGGGGTTCAGGGGGTTAAGGTTTTAGGGTTCAGGGTTTGCGCTTTTGAGGCGTTAGGGTTTAGGGTGCTTGGGTGCGCCAAGCGCACATCAGGGCAGCGAATTTCAGAAACGACAGGATGTAGCCCACAGTCGCCAGCTCTCTTCCCCACTCCAACCTCAGCTTCCAGTGAATAGAGGGACCTTTGTGGCTCAGTTGGACCATCCATCACGTAGTTGGCGATGCGCTGAGGTTCCTGCCTTTCACTCGGGTCTTGGTAGGCCTGCCTCAGCTGCCGCTTGCGTTGACTTGCGAGTGCTAACCGGGCACATCTGCACGTGTGTGTCAGACCTGGCATGTCGGCTGCGGCTACTGCAAAGATGTACCAGATACCAGCAAGCCCGCAAGCCCTTACAGAGGCTCTCCCTCCCGGCCGGCCCTACCTTGCCTCTTGCTTCAAATTGCTGCTGCTCAGAATTCAGTGCACGTCGTCACCCTGAAGATCGATGCTGGGGCGACTGCAGGTTTCCCACGATGCACTTCCAGAGCTTCTTCAGCGCCATGAACAAGATGACCTCATCGTTGAATCTTCGGCTTCGGTCCAGGTGATGAATATAAGCAGAAATATGACCTGATTATAACAAGCTTTAAAGCTGCAGTCTTTCTGAATACTCTGGTGCTGGAATTTGGGGCTGGAGCACTGCAGAGGTGTAGGCCAAGCACAGCAGATGCTCGAACCCCTCTAGGCCCCCAAGGCTCCGAAAGCTCCGCCCAATGTCGGCCAAGGCTCGGTACAAAACAGGGCGATGTTTCCACTAAGGAGCTGCCAGGTACTGATTTGCAAGTCCTGCGATGCAGCGATGCCCGGGGTGAGCTGCTAAGCCGAGAACCGTTCCTGCCCTAGCACACTGAGAAGCCTGCGTACAAGTTGTAGCTGTCAGATCAACATGGGCAAGCTGTGGAGTTCACAGCTCTATATTATAATGTCCAAGCGGAAGGCAAAAGTGTCCACGTACATGGCTGATATAGGTACCGGAGCCGAGAGGGAGTCCTTGTGCGGCTGGTTGACCTTGGCTTGTGAGACATGCCGGCCTCCATTACACGTGGCCAATGCAACCGAAAGGCTAAGTAGAAGAGGATCATGGCACACAGCAGGGTGCCGAACCTCATCACACGACGCTCAATTCGGACACCTTGCATGGCTGCAAAGTGCATGCAACGGACTCGGCTGCTCTAACACGATGTGTGATGCGTGTGGCGCAAGTCCAGTCCTTACAGAATCATGCAAGCTGCCCAATGCCACAACCTGGCCTCCGTTCCCAGCCGCCCCCAACCTTGCTCGGCCTTGAGTCCCCGGAGCCTATAAACCCTAAACCCCAGAGCCCAGAAACCTGGGGCCCCCGGCAAAGCCAGGCCTGTGCCGGAGCTGGCCGTCGCCGCCTCGGCCTTCAGTTCCTTTGTGAAGGCCTCAGGAAGAGATTTGGCTTTAAAGCTCCCTATAGGGTTTAGGACTCGGAAGAGTTTTTGCTTGTCAGGGGCTTCAGTTCGGGTTTTGGGGCAACGGGGGATTGCTTGCCACCCACCCTCCACAATGCCCGGCGAGGTCAGCAGGATGTTTGGTTTGGTCCCGAAATCGGTCCTGGCAGCTATCATGAGCCTTGGCAGGGGCCGCCCAGAACCCACTCAAACAAACACCGTAGTGGACTGTACTAATTGGGACACCAGCAGCTAGTATAGCTGCTGGTGTCCCAAATTTATAGCAGCGGTAGCCGAAGGCGCTTCAGTCGTGGGATCTGGGGACCAGTGCAGTGGACCAGGGGTCCGTGGCCGTACGAATCCCGTCCAGGGCTCTGCTCCTGAAAGCTGGCGCTGTGTGACTGTATATAATCGGAGCGCGCACCCTCGAAGGCCCATGTGTGGCGTTGATCCAGATCGACCGGGAAAATCAATTTTCATCGCCATCATCGACCGTGCGAGGAAAGAAACGAGATACACCGCTACGAAGTTGCTTCTCTACGCCAGATCTGGCGCACTCAAAAACTGTGCTGCGACTTTGTCCAAGCAGCAAGCTTGAGCCGCAGGCATTTTCATACGGAGCTTTAGGCTCAACTCAACGGAATGCACCGGTCCCTATAAGGTCTTGTCTGTCCCCTTGCAACCCAGCTTCGTCGACGTTGTGCGTCTCGTTTGTGGAGATCGTTACCTCACCGCAGCAGCTACTGTGAAACAAGACATGTCGTTACCCTGATTACAACCTCAAAACCCTCTCGGCCCCTTAAGCTCTTCTGCTTCTTATGGAGGGCTTATGGAGCAGTGCTTTGCCATGATGGGGTGATATGCACATCCATGTGCAGTTCAGCCATCTATGCCTTGCCTCCACCCTCACACGCTACATCGGGGCGCGTGTGAGCCAAACGTATACTATCTGGTGTCGAAGGCCAGCTCTCTGCTTCCACAAGATCCAATCGGCATGGGCAGCGGCACCAGAAACTGATGTCTGAGGTTGTCAAGGGTGCTTTCAAGCTGCGACCTTCTCCGCTGTGTCGCTTGGCTGCCCATCTGCCTTCATGCAGGTGGAACATG